GAGAGCACATGGAATCCTCCAAAACGCGATTATTGGATCTAAATAAGCATAATTAGTAAAGTTTCAATGTTGTCACGTACAAATATTGTCCAAACAATATCGATATGCATTATTATAATCGTAATGCAAGCTACAGCTGCTAAAATCGAGAAAAATTGTATTCACGGCATTTGATGTGCAGTGCTATCGATTGCACGATGAATCTCATTAACTGAACTTTTTGTCAAATATCACTAAATATTCACCCACCTACGACTAAAAGCACCTTATTATGGTTTAAGTATGGTTATGTAAGTATAACGAAGGTCTAAAAAACATAACGAAGTCATATATTTGAATACGCACACCAAATGGATGTCATTGATTGACATGCAGGCACTTGAATGGTGATTTTGAACAAGTATAATATGCTCTCTGTACAATAATAATGGGTTCTGAAGTAATAATTCTTATATTTATTATATATGAGAACCCTTAGAGGGTTCAAAATGTTAATACGCGACTCAAAAATCCAAGATTTGGCATGGTCGAAAAGTGCACAATACTGTTCATTCATCGACACATAACTCATGAACCAATTCGCCTTCGCAAAATTCTTTTCAAATGTTACTAAAAAAAAGTCTAGAAAAAAATATTGGGATCATATCCAAAACCGGATTTAGTGAATTATGTTTGGTTCTTAAAAATCGACTCCCCTTAGGGTGTGGGTGGGGTGTTAAACTTTTTATATTTAGATTTGACTACTAGAAGGTTAGGTAATTTCTTTTCACAAAAAGGATGTTCTTGTATACATAAATAATTTAGAAGGCTGTGATGTTTTATTTATTTCAGACTTTCAGTAAATACTTCTAGTTTTTATATACTACATATTCACTACATTTAAATAGTAAATAAATAAAGACATAAAATAGTAGAGGACTCTTTAAGACAACGGCTGTTACGCCTAACTTAAAACTACGGCTATTAAGCGTCCCGTAAAGACTCCCTCTGTTAAGCGTCCCGTAAAGACTCCCTCTGATAAGCGTTCCTCTCTCGCCTTCCTCCAAGTTAAGCGCCCCTCTCTTGTCCCCCCCTCCAGATTATCACGGTGATTGAAATCCTTTTTGCCTAAATTTTATGACAATTTCTTTTTTCAAATCATATCAAATCAACATGGTGGTAAAGATGATGGGTATGTAATTATGTGTGCATGAGGTTCGAGTCCGCAATGTTGTTTTGTTTTTTCGTCTACATATTAGATATATTTTATATAAAAGCTTATATATATATATTATATATATATATATATATTATATATATATATATTATAT